TGTGTTGTTTTCTGTCATTATCAGAGTTCGAGATTTGAATTTAATTTTGCATTGATCAACTGAGAAAACAAAAAATAAAATGAAAAATCCAATAATGCATTAAATAATGAACTATTCGAGGGGCGCGCTTCATGTCTTTTGACTGCAAAAGAAGAGTTGAAAGCTAATATCACTGGATCAACTAGTGGTTAACAAACGACCAGGGTTATTTGGAAGAATGAAACCTCGATCCAAAATTCATGGATTTCAAGACAGGGCCGTCGAGAAACATTGTGAAGAACAGGAATAATTGATGGAGGACTGTTAACAGTGGAGATGGCAACGATGTAGCACGTACAAGCCGGAGCATAAATTTATGTTTTGATCCTAAATTCAGGAAAGAGTTAAGGGAGCCTTCTCCTTGAGAAGCTGAAACGGATGCAACAACTGAATGGCCACGAATCAATCCTTAAAAAAATGAGAAAAGATTAAAGAAACAATATTCGATTCGTTCATAATGAATATAAGAGTAGAAATCAATCCAGAAAGGTAAAAAAATGGCTATTGTTTTGACAAAAACTTCTCAAAGGTCACCAAAACGTCCCCAAACGTTGTTGAAAGGATGGTATTCGTTTACAAATAAGTTTCATCTAATATTCATATGCTATATCATCGATATATCAAGAGAACGAGGCACGTTTTCAGCAAGTTTTTCAATCCGTATATCTTAGCAGTATAAGTTGCACTTCAAAACAGCATATAAAATGACAAAATGCTGAAGCATTTCCTTGAACCTTCAGCAAATTCAATGAAGGAATTGCAATTATTACATTTTTGATCAAAGCTGGTAATTCAATTTTGATCAGAATGCAGCTATTAATATAAAAACATTTTACCTTTTAGTGTGTGTTGTTGGATGGAATATTGACGATTGAAAAAAAGGAATTTTTAAACTGACCATTTATCTGATGCCATTTTTTACATAGATACATAATACGTTAAGGAAACAAACTGCTTTAATTTTGCAGACTTATCGATAAATCCGTTAAAAATGCTCTTTTGTTTCGATATTTTCAAAAATAGGGAAAAGACCGAGCGAACGTACTGAATTCTACAATTATTCATAATTGCTGAGGAGCAATTCCATTGGTCGATATTTGTTATGAAATAAGCCGGTAATTAGAATGGTGCTGCCAAATTAGCAAGACAACTTGAAAAACAACAACAGCAACAGCGCATCTTGCCTACTGGACCGAAATCGTATTTATACCTACATATTCCCATACTGCCGGGGAGAAAAGGTCAAAAATCTACAATCCGCTTACAAATACAAACCCATCAAAATAACCAAAAACCTCTTGCTTTAGATTACAAAACAAAGAGTGAAAAAGTCACACTCACTTGCCTCAAGATAGATTTTTTCGATCATTTTAATATTTCATAAAGAAATTCATGCCCAAAAGATGGAGTGAGTGAGTGAAGGGATTGATTAACTGAATACAACTGTTTAGAAATTTCTTTTAATTTCCACGTCAAAAATACATAACSATATAACCAACACGGTGTAATATAAAACAGTTTAATACCTATTATTTTTTCATAATACCTTTTGAAGTAAATTATAAAAAATGTAGCCAATCTTCTTTTGGTCTGTAAACTTTTTTCTACAGTTTCTTGATAAAATAGTTTGTGACCATGATCTTGCTGGTATTTACACATTACTTTTAAGCAGTTTCCAAGAATTGTTTTTGTATTATAATCTGCATGACATCCAGTGGTTCCACTATATCCACCATCAGCGCCTTCGTCTGGTCGTCTGTAAGTTCATGTACTCGGAGTTGACGAGTAAGAGTTTTCATTCTTGATTCCTCGCCAAGCAGCTCTTCAATGGGCGATCTGGTTGGTGAATTCCTTTGACTTATTTCTGGTTTGTATTTGGCTTTCGTCCAGTCTACCTTTTTCTGTGATTCATTTCCTCCGCCATTTTCTTTCCAGATCGATTTTCCATGGATATCTTTCCTTACTGTTGTATTTTTTTCGATTAGTTGTGGATCGACTTTCTTCTTTTGCTGTGAAGTGTTGTTTTGTTCGGGACCACGTTCGTCTCTGCATTCGGCCCAGAAGGACCTCTCTGCTATTTGACCAAAGATATTTAGATGCCAAGTACCATTCGATCTTCTTAGCATTTTCCTTCTTTCTTTTTATGAAAAAACTTGATAAAATCTGATAAATTTTGCTTTGAATACCAAAGTGAGTTCAGCAGTGTTATCAATCTCGGGTCATCTACTGACTACAGGACGTGTTTTGTAGTAGCTGCTCAATGAAATACCCAGAGGAAAGCTATCTGATTGGTTAAGCAGATGTTGTTTTTACAAATTTGACGCAACATATGCGTCATGTTTTTACGAATTTGACGCAACATTTTCATCATGTTTTTACAAATTTGAATAAAAATGAAAAAACTTGATTTTTATATTTCCCACTGGTGATTAAATAAATCTATTACTCTAACTTGGTTAGTTAGTCAGTGTTGAAAAAGTTAATATTCTTGTGTTCTTGAATATNATTCAAAAGACACTATCAAATTTAATTCAGATAGTCTTTGAATGTTGATGTATAAAGGAGTGCAAGTTAATGCAAGAATATTAACTTGATTTTAGAGGATGTCAAAAAACTGTTATCCCTCCTTTGACGGCACAGAAAACACAAGATTTGGTTGAGGATAGCTGTTGTAGAGGAATTGAGAAGGTCTAGTAAAGACGAAACTCAGTTTTCCTCAACCAAGTCTTTTGTGTTCTGTGCGTCAAAGGAGGGATATAAGTATTTTAACATCCTCTAAAATGAAGTTTATTGAAACTCCTTTAAAATCCAAATACAACAAATATCAAGAAATATGAACTTGGGCTCTCGATAAGCAAGGGCCAACACCTTCGTACAATCATTTTAAAACGGCGAATTTGGAGGATCGTCTTCTTTGCTTGCTTCAACCTTTGAGACTGAACGGTAAGACGAATCAAATTATAATTGACTTTGCAAATAGAATTCTAATGTGAACGATTTATGAATACAGCTTTCTTTTTCTTTAAAACTAATTATTTTTAACTTTGATTCTTGACAACCAGGAGCGAGCACCTGCACTTCAAAGACAAGTCTAACCACATTGATACGCCTGGCCGAATGGAAGCCGTGTCTTCGATTTCTAAAGGCCCGTTTACACTTGCAATTTTTGCAGCGCGATTGTCGCGCGACAATCGCCACTTTGATCTCGCGCACCTCAAATCGTACGTGTAAACAGCCCTGCGATTATTGTCGCGGCGATGCCGCTAAATTTCAAGAATGTTCGAAACTATAGGCGATTGCGCGCGACAATCGCGCTGCAAAATTTGCAAGTGTAAACGGGCCTTAAAGCCCCGTCTACACGAGCAATTTTTATGTGACAACTATATGTGACAATTTTTTTTCCGTGTGGGCAGGCAGCAAATAATTGTTGAAGACTCGCGCCAACTATGATTTTGCACAGCGGAGAAGTCAATAAATAAAACAAATTTAAATACTATAGCTTCGTAAGAGTACTAGAGATAATAAAACTTTAACAAATACGATATATTTTTAATCTTAACATGTTTCAGCATTACATTATGCCATTCTCAGAAGAATGGGGATGAGAATGAGCAATTAAAAATTGTCACATAAAAATTGTCCGTGTAGATGAGGCTTAATTCAGAGGTCTGAAGTTCAAGACTCAGAGGAGCTGACATTTCTTTAATTAGATTTCTTTCCTTGTCAAAAAATAAATAAATTCAACCAAATATAGATCAGGGAACCCGGTAACTGTAACTTAATGAGTAAATTAATAGAGAACAATGAGAATAAATTATAATTCTGAACACAAGTAACGAAGGCTCAAGTTTACAGGAAAGTGAGTGAGTGAGTGAGTGAGTGAGTWAGTGATTGAGTGAGTGACAGTCTCGTCCCACTCCAATAACTCTTCGATTGCTTCGCAATCTTCGAGTTAAAAATAAGGAATCGCTATCTACGCCACAACCATCAAAACTGCAATTATACTGACATCCATCAAAGAAAATAAGAAGTTTTTGATAACACGTTAATCCTGGTACAGTGAAACGGTATTTCTACTATTTCTACGGTATTTCCTATGAAAATATTACCCTGTCCAAAACACACCAAGAAATTATATGATCGGTCTTTTATCTAAATTGTAGAGCCTGTTTAAGACAATTTTGGGTGAAACAATTTTGGGCCAAAAACCATACCCTGGCCAGCGCCACGTCCCCGTATAGCAAATATATGGGAGTACACCCCCCGGGCTTATTGTTAAGTTCTTATAGTTCATAATGAAACAACTTGATCTTGAAATTTATATATTTATATCAGATTCTTTTTAAACAAAAGTCAACCATATAACTAACCCTTATTATAAAACTCGAGCCGCAGGCGAGAGATTGTAATTCCCATACAACACGGACGCGAATGTTGTAAACGACTTATAAAACTCCAACACAAATTAACATGAATTACAGTGAGATGAGTGACGAAAAATGACAAATAAGGTAACTGCTGAGTTTAGTCCCTATTAAGCATGCGCAATTTACTGCAACACAGAACATTTTGAATATTTATCCATCCCACATGGAAAGCAAGCCATCTGTTGCATAAGCGAGTTCTGTTATTCGTCTTTGATTGCTTCAAAACCTAGTGAAGGTCTATGATGCGACACTAAAACTGAGACCTTTGCTAGTGTCGGGTTGTCTCAATGGTGACGGCCGTGTTGTAAATCTGATACAACCACTAGTGTTGTATCAGATTTACAAGGTCAATAACCTGATTAAATGGTCAGCCCTTATTGGAGCAATAGCTTATGCATTATTAATAAGTTTTATAAGAACTTTAAACACCATGTAAAGCGTAGTGATATTATATAAAGATTACCATTTACTGTTTATACATTTCCAGGTCCCAAAGGAGATCCTGTTCTGCCAGTATCTTCTCCATCTATAGTTATGACCCCGCGCAGTAATCTATCCGTCTTTGAAGGCCAGTCTGCTGTATTCAATTGCTCTGTTAGTAGTAATCCAGAATCTGTGATTAAATGGAGTAAGGTAGATGGTGAAGTTCCTAAACTTAGAGCAACAGACACCGGTTCTGGCTTCCTAAAGATCGTAAACACTGCATATCACGATGCAGGTGTCTACATATGCAAAGCTGAAAACATTGTGGGGAAAAAGCAAAGCAAAGTAAGGCTTGAGGTATATTTTCGTCCTCGAATAATTTCTAATCATAGGCAAACCATCTATGTGAGAATGGGAGATAACATAACACTGCCAGCATGCCACGTTAAAGGACATCCTAAACCTGAGATAGCGTGGTCCAAAACTAACGGATCATTAAGTAATCGTACAGTTATCAAAGATCAGCGTTTAACAATCATCAAAAGTAAGAAAGAGGACTCCGATAAATACATGTGTGAAGCTAACAATGTGCTTGGTTCTGATAAAGCTCAAGTATCCATTGTACGTGTTGTTAAAGTACCAATCTTCACCACAAATCCGCCTGCAACTCATGTTGTACGCGAAGATTCGACATTAACCCTCAACTGCAGTGCTGATGGTGACCCCGACCCTGTCATCCAGTGGAGAAAAGAGGAAGGAGATTTACCTATCGGTTTGTATTTGGCTTTCGTCCAGTCTACCTTTTTCTGTGATTCATTTCCTCCGCCATTWTCTTTCCAGATGGATTTTCCATGGATATCTTTCCTTACTGTTGTATTGTTATGAGTTGTGGATCGACTTTCTTCTTTTGCTGTGAAGTGTTGTTTTGTTYGGGACCACGTTCGTCTCTGCATTCGGCCCAGAAGGACCTCTCTGCTATTTGACCAAAGATATTTAAGTGCCAAGTACCATTCGATCTTCTTAGCATTTTCCTTCTTTCTTTTTACGAAAAAACTTGATAAAATCTGATAAATTTTGCTTTGAATATCAAAGTGAGTTCAGCAGTGTTATCAACCTCGGGTCATCTGCTGACTACTGGACGTATTTTGCAGTAGCGGCTCAATAAAATACCCAGAGGAAAGCTATCTGATTGGTTAAGCCCTCAATGTTGTTTTTACAAATTTGACGCAACATTTGCGTCATGTTTTTACGAATTTGACGCAACATTTGCATCATGTTTTTAAGCATTTGAATAAAAATAAAAAAACTTGATTTTTATATTTTCCACTGGTGATTAATCTATTATTCTAACTTGGTTAGTTAGTCAGTGTTGATAAAGTTAATATTCTTGTGTT